ATTTATTGTAGGACAGGCAGGAGGGGTATATATACATTCCACACAGCTTATCTTAATTAACATAAACTAGATACAGCAGTCAACCAATAAGGAATCTCCACACTTAATGGCTCGCTGGAGTTACTTCACAAACCACTCCCTCTGGCAAAATGCCAGGGGCCATCTTGACTTGTTTACAGACCTTAACAATCTAACCTGGGAGGAGTTCATAACATATTATTTATATGTTCAGAGCATATTGAAAAATTGCCCCAAATGATCATAGAATCCCTGTCGAAAACTGGGGAAAATGACAATGAAGAAAAGCAATGTAAAATGGTCAACATGGCAAATCAGAGGGAAAAAAATCTTAAAAGTTTGATGTTAATCTGTGGGAAATTCCTCCAATGTCAAACAACATCAGCATTCTTGAACCATGGTGTCATATAAAATTATAATTAAAAATACTTATTTTTAAAAATTTTTGTTTAATTAAACATATTTATTCATATGATGATTTAATGTTAGGTCACTGAGAATCTTTAATAAATCAGACGTCAAATTACTATTTCTCTCCCATTGATTTTTTAATATGTTCAAATTAGTTATACACAACAGTAGAATGCACTATGATACATCATATATAAATGGAGTATAATATATCCTTCTGGTTGTACATGATGTAGAATCCCACTGGTCGTGTAATCATATATGTACATAGGGTAATAATGTCTGATTCTTCCTACTATTCTCTCTACCTCTATACCTCCTCCCCTCCCTTTATTCCCCTCTACCTAATCTAAAGTAGCTCTATTCTTCCCTAGGCACCCCTTATTGTGAAAAAAAAAATACATGACTTTTTAAAAAATATTTTCTAAGCTAAATTTTTCTCTTAGGTAGTTTATGCATATAAATCAATATTGATCTCATTTTACAAATCTACATGTGTTTTGTGCCCATGTTTCATCTAAATTTCAACAGAATTTTATTAAATTCTTATTAAAACATGTGGGACAATTTTCTGATATGACTGATACAAGCAACTAGTTGAAAAATGCTAATTAGAGGGGAAATATCAATCTACACTTACCGGTATTTGTTCAACAGAAGATTCTGACCATAATTGGGTGTTATTAATCCATGCTTCCAGTAACTTCCACACAAGCCAGTAATTAAGTAGGGCTTTAGGACAACAATGAGCAACCTCTCAGGAATTTGTAAATAAAATTTTTCTTAGTTAAACCAAGTGATAATATTGATTTCTACTGAAATATTTGGAAAGTCCAAAACTCCAATCAAGTCAACCTAGATTTTCTCTCCTGGAGATAAGATTGGAATGTAATTCGAATTTATTAAGTAGAAACTTAATAAAGACCATGTAATTAGAGAGGTCAGTCTAAGGCAATGATTTCTAAAGTTTCCCCATCAGAGGCATCAGTATCACCTGGGAACTTGTTAGTACAGATTGAAATGGAAACTAAGTATAAGATCCAGCCATGTCGGGTTTAACCTTCAAAGACTGACATTGACTGACCTGTTGCACGGTGAAGGGAAGGCAAACATCACATGTGGCAGATTCCAGGGTGATTACTGGGTGGTGGTGGGTATCCTCCTAGGATGAGGGTCTTCATCAGCTTCACTATAAACTAAAATGAAATGCCTCTTAAAACCATTTCTGTTGCTTTTATTAACATCAAACTTTTCATCACACTTTTAACCATTTAAATAGCCTGTCACACAATACTAGAGGCTGAGGCAGGAGAATCCCAATTTTGAGGACAGTCTCAGCAACTTTGCAAGGCCCTAAGTAATTTAGTGAGACAGTCTCAAATTTTAAAAAAGTTAAAATAAAAAGGGCTTGGGATGCAGATCCATGGTAAAGAGCCCGTGGGTTCAGTCCTCAGTAGACACACACACACACACACACACACACACACACACACACATTAAAAAAAATACTTTGTGCATGAGTATCTTATTTGAAAAAGACACAGAGCTTTTCTTTAAGGGCAAAAATATCTTAGCATGACAGCACTACCAATGTGTTAATATGAGTGTTGACTGAATTTATAAAAAAATGTTCACTCAAGACAAATAAAAATCCTATTCTCTTATGCATCCTGGAGAATGCAACCAAGAAACTAATTCTACTCTGCTTTTTTTAACATGGTACTTGTACTGGTAATTCATAATAAGGTGGCGTTGAGGAGATGAGGTGTATTAGAGCTCTATCTTCCACTAGGACAACCCCCAGAGTCCACTGGAACATCAGTCCTACAGTCTTCCATGGAAATGAGGCATGCTGTGTCCCAGTGATCCTGGTAGGGACATTCTTAAGCTTCTTTGGGTTTTAGAGCTGTGTAATATTTAGTGGTCTTCTGACCTCCTTCACAAGTGACACACCTTCACAGAGGGAATTCAAGTGGGAAAAATATGAGTGCTGATGCTCTAGTCAGGGTGAGGTGATCAGGAGCATCTGGATGAAACCTGATTCAATGATAAAGCACGTGACAGTGCCAAGATTCCCCTCTTGCCCCACTCCCTCACTCTGTTAGCCCCTCCGCAAACACAAACATCCCAACACTATAGAAGACATAGAAAGGCAAGGAGTAAAGGAGTTAGGGAGCAGTTTGGAGATGAGAACTAGTAGTCCTGGCCATCAGCAGGGCTGATTTCTTTTCTTTTTTTTTTTAATTTTTCATTTATCTTCTAGTAATAATAATAAAATCTATCAGAATTCTTTTCTGGATATGATGAAGTCAGGTGGAAGTCTCTATTTTCCAGATCTTCTGAAGAATTATATCCTTAAAAAGAAAGCAATCTAGTCTATATGCTTCTACACTGAGAATGCCATTGGGACTGTGTCGCCATTGGGACTGTGTCCCCACCGGAACTGGCATACACATGTTCACAGATGCCTTATCAAGCCAATCAGGTTATATAAGCTGTTAGTAATCATGGGTGATTTCTCTCTGTATCCCCTAAGGCACTGGAGCACTCAGTAAACAGTAATATTATAGGAATGTTGTAGTAACCTGTCCTAGAAATATGTCTCATAGTATTCTCTTTTTGTTTTAAGTTCTAGTACATTTTTGGTATACTCACCTGAAAAGTATTAGATGTTGGAGTTTAAATGGATCTTCAGAGTTTCCATGGCCTTGCCCTCTTCTGAAAGACAAGAACACTGAAATGCCAATTGAAGAGATTGCAGAGATTATTAGAATGTATGAGTCTTACACTGATTCTAAGTCCAGGCTCCTTGAATCCAATTTTGAAGATCATTTGATATACTTATCCAGGAATATTATCATTTCTTATCTACCATATGCTTGTCTTCATGACCTTTTTCCTTATGATGCACCAATTACATTATCTCCTGGGATATCCTTACGTTTTCTCAATTCTATCTTTTTTCATCATTAAACTTAGTGTATTCACTTAGTGTATTCTCTAATCATTACTAAGCTAGTTTCCTGCTCAGTACTCCCCACTCAGTGCTCTGCTTGACATTACCTACTGAGTTTAAGGAATAGATGCACGATCAAGTAAGTAAATTTTTTAAATAACTGAATGATTGCTAGAGGAATATATTTTATAAGACTGCTAGAGACCCTGTAAGAATTCACTCTTACTTCCAAAAAAAATCTTACTATATTTTCTACTACAATGATATATGAAAGAACACTATGTGTTCTTTAATTTATTAAAATAAATAATAAAATAATTATCATTCCTGCTTTTTGAGCAAACATGAAACATCACTTCTATGAGAGAAATGAATAGGATCCAATTTCCTTTTGAAACAAATACTAAAAAGAAACATAAATAAATCATAAAAGTTTAATAGCTTCCCATATCCTCTCTCTCTCTCCCACTTTTATAGAGGCATGTGTGGCTTAACAATGAGTAAAATTCTGAGATATGCATTGTTAGACAGTTATGTCATTATATGAACATCATAAAGTTTACCTATTCAAACCTGGATGGTATAGTGCAATCCTTTTATATGGCCTTAGTGTTTCTGGTCGGATTCCTAGGTCTTTAAAAAACTACAAGTTGATTTTTATACAGAAGAGAGATAGGAATCTGGTTTTATTTTTCTATATATCTCTATCTAGTTTTGCCAGAACGGTTTGTTTAAAAGGCTGTCTGTCTTTCCTCCAATCTGTGTTGTTGGCACCTTGGTTGAGGATCAGATTACTACATCTCTGTTTTCTATTCTATTTCATTAGTCTTAATCTTTCAATCATATCCTCCCTCTTGATTTACTATATGTAGTAAAAAAAAAAAGCCATATATCTCCTTCAATATCTTGCTGCTTAAAAACATTTTCTGCCAGATATCTTAGTTTATTGCTCTTAAATCCTGCCTTCTATAAAGCTCTCAGGCATTGATACAATTCATCAAAGTATTTTACAATTTTATAACAATGATGGTACTTCCTCTAGATCCAAATACATTGTCTTTGTGTATATGTGTGTCTGTGTATATATATATATAAACATATATAAATATATATAAATATATATATATATATATGTGTGTGTGTGTGTGTGTGTGTGTGTTATCAAAATAATCTTTTAGGGGGGTAAGGAGGATACTGTGGATTGAACTCAGGGACACTTGATCACTGAGCCACATCCCCAGGCCTATTTTGTATTTTATTTAGAGACCAGGTTTCACTGAGTTGCTTAGCACCTCTCTTTTGCTGAGGCTGGCTTTGAACTCGTGATCCTCCTGTCTCAGCCTCCAGAGCCACTGTGATTATAGGCGTGCACCACTGCACCCAGCCCAAATCATCTTTACTATCCATATTTCTATTAGCATTGTGGTAATGATCATTTAAGTAAACTTTCAGCAGTTTCAGACTTATTGTATATCTATTCTCTTCTAGGACTTCATTAGAATTATACTTAATGTTCCATTTATAGCAATCTTTTTTTTTTCTAGTATGTTACTCAAAATTCTTCCAGCCTCTACCCATTGCACAATTCCAAAGCTGTTTTCATATACTCTGGTGTTTATTATAGCGACATTCCCACTCCTGAAAATAAATTTTATGTCTTAATCTGTTCTATGTTGCTATAATAGAATACCAGAGATGGGTGGTTTATAAAGAAGAGAAATTTATCCTCTCAGTTCTGGAGTCCACATTTAATATCAGTGTGTCAACATCTGGCAAGGACTTATACTAGAAGTAGAAAGGTTGAGGGTGGGAGTGGGGCTTTTATAAAACTTAGGCTTTTATAACAAACCCACTCCTGTAGTGATGGTATTACTCCATTCATGGGGGTAATGCCCATATTACCTCATCACCTCTCATTGGTCTCACTTTCCAACACTGCTATGCTGGGGACTGTTTCCAACATGTGCTTTTGAAGGAAACATTTAAACCATAGCAGAGGATTATATTGTCAAACCACTAAATGAGAACAACACAAGCATATTTGGTATTTTCTAAAACACTGGGTAACGACTCCACCATTAAGGGAAGTATTAAGCAATCTTGCCCTGATTGACTAATCTTAAGGTAGTCAACTGTCTTACCCATGTATTTTTAGTTGCATAGTTTGCCAGAGTCTTACTTCAAAAATTTGATGAACTTACCTGTCTTATAGACCTCCATCCTTTCCTATCTACTATCTAATGCAGCACAAGGCACACCTACCTGATTTCTTGTTGTTTGATAACTTTAACATTTTAGTCATTAAAAATGGTCCAGAAGGCATTATATAGCATGTAAATCTTCACCATCAATAATATGAATATTTTGTTATAAAAATACTTGATCTAAACTAGTCAAGTTTAGATCTCTTTTAAAAGACATCAAAGGGTCAAGGATACTGTACCTCCCTTCTTTTATCCCATCTCTGGAATTCCTTCCTTAAATGTAAGCTTAGTCATCTCCCCTTCTCTTATGTTTTGTTTATAATACTTCCTTCTTATCCAACAGGTTCCTTTTCTAGGATTCTTTGCTGTCACTAGTTTTTAAATATTTCCTCCTCTTACTCATACTTCCTGAAGTTTCTGCCAGTCTTATGAGTTAATTTTCTTGCCAGGGCACAATCTTTTCAATCTGATGTATTCCTTACCAAATTTATAAGGATATTTTTCATCCAAGTGTGTGTGTTTTAGTTTCAGAGCAATATAAGAAAACTTTTTTTCACATATTCATCTTTATTACAGTTCTATTTTTTTTAACATTTCTTTCCTAATTGTTTTCATTATTGAAGTCTTAGCCTACAAACTAGATTGTAAACTTCATCAGAGCACCTAAAATATTATTTGTCGTATAATGGGTGTTCTACAAAAAAAACTAAGTGCTTGACAAGGTTAAAAAAAAAATAGCAGATAAATGTGCTCAATCTGTTATCACAACACCCAACTGAGATTTGTGTTCTCCAACAATAATTCAATAAAACATGAAAGAAAATACTTAGATCAAACTTGCACATACAGAAAAGATGTGCTCTAATGTCTGGTATAAATACTAACATAACCTGAAAAAGATAAAACTCATGAAGTTTCAAATCCTCTGAGCACAATTTTGTGGCCACATCTGCTTTAAACTGTTAGACTAAAAATTTTTACATAAGAAAACAAAAAAAAAATGCTGAATTGGAAATTCACTGGGAGGTAACTTTATTATTGGCATAATTGAGGCAGCTGCTATTATTGTCATTATTGAGATTTTCATGCAGATGTGCCACCAAATGTCAAGAGACAATGGCGGCTATAATAAGTTGCCCAGACCACCAAAATCTTGAAATCACATTTCTTAGAGTGGCTGTGCAAAATAGCAGAGCAGAGGTTACATAACACTGAAAATTAAGAATTAGTATTAATCTCCGAAACTAAGATTTAATAAGACCGCAAAGAAAAAAAGAAGGGAAGAGGGTGTGCAATCTTTTATTCAGACAGATACCAATGTCAAGTAACAATGCTTCCTGATTGAAAAAAAAAATTAATCAACTACAAATAGAGAACAGAAGTTCTTTTTATTATCTTTATCTAAGAAAAATTGTTTTAATTTCATTTCATTTCCATTATTTTAGAAAACTCTATAAATTAGAAAGTGAAGGTAATCTCATTTCAATTTACCTCTGCACATTTATAAAGTGAAAATAATATTAGACAAGGTAATTGCAGATCTTGCATTGAGGGGCATCTCCATGTTTCCTGGCCTCACAAATTTCATCTTTCTGGAATCACTTTAATCTTCAATAATATTAGGGGGAAGGTAATTAAATTTCTTAATGATTCCCCTCATTTTTATCAGCACATACATAAATAATTTCTCCTTAGCTTCTCCTGAGGACTCACAGATAAGGTGTATTTCCCTGCATCTTAGTGTAGTACCAACATATAGAGAAGGCAGAAGGTGTAAATAATGATCACTGATATACAATGAGTACTATGTGCCTCTGTCCTCTGTGTATTATATAGGTTACTTAATTTTTATAATCAATCCTCTGAGGCAAATAGCATGATTATCCCCATTTTGATCCCCAGGATTATAAAAATAAAGCACAGATTCCCTCAAATCAATTACTGAGCAATACAATTTTATTCATTGCTAATGAGTTCCAGAATCAGCAAATTCAAATAACATGTGATGTGGCTCCAACAACTACTTTGTTTGGGTAGCTAAAGATGATATTCCAGATAGGAGATAAAATTATGCAATTGTAGAGTGAGAAACCCCATTTCGGACTTGGTTTAAATTAGTGTGCTATTAAATAATATCCCTGTGTTTATGCAATAAGGTGCTTGACATTTAAATGAGTTCCTTTAAACAGTATTTAATGTTACAGCATTTTGTTTAGTATACATACCTTTATATCCACTAACTTCCTATCACCTCTTGGTTTAGCCAAGTTAGATGGGTTTGGTCAGCTCTAGTAATTGCATGCAAATACTTTGCAAGATTAATAATCTGCAAAATGAGATCTAGGTCAAAGGTATTCAAAATTTCAGATGAATATACCCAATATGATCCTACTTATCAGTGTTTCTACGTTAGCATATAGTAAAAAAAAATAAACAGGTCCAGGTATACGCTTGTGAATGGGATAAATAATAAATGAAAATGTTCGATAACTAAATTTTGTATCTTTAGCTACACAATTTTACCTACAGCCAGGTCATTCTAGATACAAACTATCCTGAAAAGTTGTACTCA